GCCGGGGGCGGCGGCGGGGGGGGGGGGGGGGGGGGGGGGGGGGGGGGCGTTTATTGGGTTTTATTCCAAGTTCCCCTGGATTCCCTCCGCAGGCGGCGCGTCCCCAGTTTGGTGCAGGTGGGGGCGGTCCCCCCAGCCTGACTGGGGCGTACTGGGCTGGAGATTTGGAGGCAGGTGGGGTTTGGGGGGCGGATGGGGACGGGGGTGAGGGCTGGGAATACAGGGCTGGGTGTCACTCAGCATTTAGGGGGTGCGGGTTAGGGGCTGGATTGTGGGGATCCCTGGGGTGGATCGGGGGGTGGATTGGGGTGGATCGGGATGCAGAGAGTAGGGCAGATAGGGATGGGGATGAATTGGGGGCAAGCTGGAGATTGGGGGGCTGAGGGACATGGGGGGTCAGTCGGTGCACAAACCCCTGGATTAACTGCTCCCCTCTGCTCTCTCTCCGCAGGCCCTGTCGCCACCATGGCGCTGCCCCTCACCCTGCGTCTGGGCTGCCCCCTGCTGCTCTGCGACCTGGCCCTGCTGGCCCTGCTGGGCTGGGGCGCCCCCTCGCTGGCCCCCCTAGGGCTGCCGGCCACCTGGCTGGAGGCTGCTGTGCGTTTCCTGGGGCTCTGGGGGGTCTGGATGCTGCTGGCCCCGGATCGGCCCTGCCTGTCCCCTCCCAGGGCCCTGGCTGCCCTGTGCCTGCTGCCCCCCCTTTACCTCACCCTGCGGCGCTGCCTGCCCCTGCCCGACGTGCCCCCCGCCCTGCTGGCCGGCGCCCCCTGGGCCTGGCTGCTGCTGAGCTATGGGGCAGTGGGGCTGGCCCAGCTGACCTGGGGGGCCCTGGGGCAGGGGAACAGGGCTGGGGGGCCCAGCGCTGAGAAGACGGAGCGGGAGTCCAGGGCCACCCTGCGCCGGCTGGTGGGGCTGTCCCGGCCTGACGTGCCCTTCCTGTCTGGGGCCTTCGTCTTCCTCACCCTGGCTGTGATCGGTGAGTGGGGCAGGGAGGGGGCACGGACCCCCGGGGTTTGAATTCCAGGGGGCAGGATGCCCAGACCCCCGATGGGATATGTGGGCCAGGAGCTGGACGGGCCCAGTGGTGTGATACAGGGTGATGGGGGGTAGGGGGAGAGACCTTGTTTTCTCTGGGCCTCTGGTCCCTCCAATGCTGCCCGTGTCTTTGTGGCAGGTGAGACCTTCATCCCTTACTACACGGGGCGCGTCATCGACATCCTGGGCAGCGCCTACGACCCTGACGCCTTCTCCACCGCCATCGGCCTCATGTGCCTGGCCTCCTTCGGCAGGTGAGACCCCCTAGCCCCGGGGTGAGCCCCCCTCACGGGGCCTTCAGTCCCAGGGGGAGCCCTCCAGTGCCCCTCACAGGACTCCCAGCCCTGGGGAAAGTCCCCCAGGGCCCCTATGGGACTTCCCAGCCCTAGAGAGACCCCCCAGTGTCTCTATGGGATGCCCACCCCTGGGGAGACCCCCCAGGCCTTGCACTGCGCTCTTCAAGGGACCTGAGCCCTGGGGGGGGGGGTGATTTCCCCCCATCACCCCCACACAGCTCCCAACAGAGGGGGAGTGGGGGGACGTGCGATGGGTTACAGGATAACCCTTTAGCAGAATGAACATCTGTCTGTCTGTCTGTCCCCCAGCTCCCTGGCTGCTGGCTGCCGTGGGGGGCTCTTCATGTTCACGCTCTCCCGGCTCAACATCCGCATCCGCCAGCTCCTCTTCTCCTCCCTGGTGCACCAGGACCTGGCCTTCTTCCAGCAGGTCAAAACAGGTGGGTCCCAAACCCTCCCCCACAGCACCCCCGGCATCCCCTCCCCCCCAGCTTCCCCCTCCACTGGCATCCCCTCCCCCACAGCACCCTCTGGTGTCCCCTACTCCAAGCTCCCCCCAACTGGCACTCGCTCCCCTCCCAGTGCACCCCCAACCCCCCATGTCCCCTCATCTCCCCACACAGGTATCTGCTCCCTCTTACCCCCCATCTGCTCTTCCCGTTATTTCCCCACATCTGGCTCCCTGCAGCCCCCACCCCCACAGAGTTGGGAACCCCTCTCTGGGCAGATCCATGTCTCACCATGTCTCCCCCTCCCCCTGCCCCCCAGGGGACCTGACCTCGCGCCTCTCCAAGGACACCACCATGATGAGCCGCTCGGTGCCGGCCAACGCCAACATCTTCCTGCGCAGCCTGGTGAAGGCGCTGGGGCTGTACGGCTTCATGCTGGGGCTGTCCTGGCGCCTGACGCTGCTCACGCTGCTCGAGACCCCCCTCACCATGGCCGCCCAGAACCTCTACGACGCCCGACACCAGGTACAGGTCTGGGGAGACCCCCCCCCTTACTCTCCTGATCCTGGGGAGACACCCCCCTCCCAGGATCTGGTGTCCCAGACCCCCAGGGCAGGGGGGCAGTCCCTTTATGAAGTTCCCCTCTCTGATCCCAGAGAGGGTCGCCCTCCAGTGGGGTGTTTCTGGAGGGTCCCGCAGGGCTGTTCTCCCCCCAGTGCTGTTACTGGATCTGGGGGGCAAGTTAGACCCCAGGCTGGTTAGTCTGCAGGTGACACCGTGATCGGGGGGTGGTGGGTCCTGATGGGGACGATCAGTCACACACCGCGAGCGGGGTCCTTGGTGAGCTGGGCCCATTCAAACCGAACTGTGAGCTCCCTGGGGCTGGACCCATCTTTCCGTGCTGTGTTTGTACAGTGCCTAGCGCAGTGGGCACCTGGGCCAGGACGGCTGCAGGGCCCTATTGCAATACAGATCACGCAGCCAAGTGCCCGGTCAGACACCTCGGAGCCAGCGATGCGGGTCACCCTTGCTTGGGCTGGGGGCTCTGTCCTAGGAAGCAGTGACTGGGCAGGAGAGAGAGGTCACGTGGGATGAGCAGCTCTGTGTGATGCTGTGGTTAGAGGGCGGACATGACCCTGGGCTGTATAAAGCTGCCTTGTAATGTGGAGACTCCAGGAGCTCCAGCTGAGATGTTTAAAGGTATTTAGGTGTCACTGCACTCAGCCCTGCAAGGCCTGATTGATTTAGGAGCTTGTCTCATTTTCAAAAGGGGTTTAGGCACTTCGGAGCCCAAATCCCCTTGATTGTGTCTAATCCCGGCAGGCCAAGCTTCAGAGCGGAGCGTGGGCCCCGCCCGCTGGCGCCATGGTAACCCCTAACTAAGGCGCCGCTTTTGGAAAATGTGCTAAGGGGAAGCAGCTGCTTCCCCTGCACCCCCCCCAGCTACGCTACTGCTCCAGCTACGCGGTTTATCCAGGGGAAGGTTCAGGGGTAACTTGATCCCAGTCTGTGAGGACCCACCCGGGGAGCAGATTTCTGGGAGCAGAGGCTCTGTTCTCCCCGACAAAGCAGAACGAGAGCCAGCCTTTGGGGGCGGATGTGAGACGAATTCAGACTGGAAACGAGGGGCAGATGTTTACCAGGGAGGGGATTAGCCACTGGACCAGCTGGCCCAGGGACGGGTGGATTCCCCAGCTCTTCAGGAATCGGGATTTGAGTGTCTCCTAAGGGCTCCACACCAGGCGGGTTACGGGGCTGGATACCGGGGGCCCGGGGGCGATTCGCTGGCCGGGGCTATGCGGGAGCCGAGACGCGCTGGCCGGGTTGTGACGTCTCTGACCCCGCGCCCCCCAGGCCATGCTGAAGGCGATCCAGGACTCCATGGCGCGCTCCGGCGAGGTCGTGCGCGAGTCCGTCTCCTCCATCGAGACCGTGCGCAGCTTTGCCACCGAGGAGGAGGAGTCGCGGCGCTACGAGGTGGCGCTGGCCGAGACCCACCGGCTGAAGAACCGCCGCGACCTGGAGAGGGCGCTCTACCTGCTCTTCCGCCGGGTGAGCCGGGGAGGGGGACCCAGGCATCCGCGGGAGGCAGTTGGGGGTGGGGGAAGAGACCCAGGTGTCTGGGGGAGGTAGTTCTGGATCTGATGGGGGAGCTGGGGAGGGGACCCAGGCATCCAGGGAAAATGGGCATGATTTGACAGGGGAGCCAGTGAGAGGGGACCCAGGTCCCAGGAGATGGTAGCTGATTATTCAGGGACGGGGTGTCCAGGGAATGCACTTTGTGACTCAGTGGGGGGAGGGGGGGACCCAGGCATCCGGGCATGGCAGTTCCTGAAGCAGTGGATTCCCTGGAGAAGAACAAGGGACCCAGGCACCCGGGGAAGGCAGGTTCATGGTCTGACATGAGCTGGGGAACAGGGCATTTTGCAAGCAGACGGGTGGAGGGAGGGGGACCCAGGCATCCGGGGGAGCTGCTGTTCATGCAGCCAGCCGGCGGCGGGGCTGAGAGATGCTGATTTCAGGCTTGGGGCACCCCCCTTACTGCTCCCCACATGACTCTTGTCTCCCCCCCCCCCCCCCCCAGCTGCTGCAGCTGGCCGTGCAGGTGCTGATGCTGTACTGCGGGCACCAGCAGATCCGCGCCGGGCTCCTGACCAAGGGCAGCCTGGTCTCCTTCATCCTCTACCAGGGGGACGTGGGCAGCTACGTGCAGGTGAGGGGCCCTGCGCCAGGGACGGGGCCGTAATAGGGTCACAGCGACTGGTCCGTCATCCTCTGTGCATCCATCTATCCTCACTCCCAACCACCCATCCATCTGTCCCCACATGCCCCCAACATCCATTCATCCATCCATCTACCAGTCCACACCCCACCCTTCCATCCCTCCATCTCTCCACACACCTGACACTCTGGCCCCATACATACTCCTCTATGCATCCATCCATCCAGCCCTGCCTCATCCACCTGTCTCCCTGTCTCTGGGTATGTCAACACAACAGACTCTGCCAGTGTAACTACGGCACCGTAGCGATGCCAGCGTAGCCCTGTGGTGTAGACGCAGCCTGAGCCGGTGGAAGGGGTTTCTCCATCGCTGTAGGAACTCCACCTCCCTGAATGCTGGTAGCTACGTCGACAGAACCCACTGTCCCTCGGCCTAGCTGGGTCTGCACCGGGGGTTTTGTCACCATAGCTACAGTGGCCGGGGTGTTTCACACCCTGACTGTTAGCTGGCTGGCTTGACCTAACTTTTAAGTGTAGGCTGGTCCTCTGACTCGCTCTCTGCCCGGCCCCAGACCCTGGTGTATATGTACGGGGACCTGCTGAGCAACGTGGGGGCGGCGGAGAAGGTGTTCGAGTACCTGGACCGGGAGCCGGCCGTGCGCACCGACGGGACGCGGGCGCCGGAGTCGCTGCAGGGACACGTCTCCTTCCACAACGTCTCCTTCTCCTACCCCTCCCGCCCGGACCGCCAGGTCCTAAAGGTACCTACAGCGAGGCGGCTACACACTACCCCCGGCTACACCCTACCCCCGGCTCACAGCCCCAGGCTCTTCCCCCTGGGGAGAGGATAACCCAGCTCCCAGCCCCAGGCCGGATCCCCCTGGCCCCCAGCCCCTCTGATTCCCCAGCGTGACAGGCACTTTGATACTCTCCCCACTGTCCCAGGACGTGTCCTTCGAGCTGCGCCCCAGGGAGGTGACGGCGCTGGTGGGGCTGAACGGCAGCGGGAAGAGCACGTGCGTGGGGCTGCTGGAGCGGTTCTACGAGCCCCAGGCCGGGGAGATCCTGCTGGACGGGGCGCCCCTTCGGGAGTACGAGCACCGGTACCTGCACCGCCAGGTGAGGGCAGCGGGGGCAGGGTCTGGGCTGCTGCTCACTCGGTGTGACGGGTTGAGCAGGTCTCAGCCCCTAACGCCGCCCCCTCTTGCCGGCAGGTGGCCCTGGTGGGGCAGGAGCCCGTCCTCTTCTCCGGCTCCATCCGGGAGAACATCGCCTACGGGCTGGGGGGCTGCGGGGAGGAGCAGGTCACCAGGGCGGCCAGAGCAGCCCACGCCTCCGGGTTCATCGCGGAGCTGGACAGAGGCTTTGAGACAGGTGAGTCACCACTGCCCGCGCTGCAAGGGCTTCTGGGAAAGGTCCTCTGCTCTAACCACTAGGCTTCACTCCCCCCAGAGCCGGGAAGAGAACCCAGGAGTCCTGGCTCCCAGCCCCCCCTGCTCTAACCCACCAGCCCCCACTCCCCTCCCAGAGCTGGGGAGAGAACCCAGGAGTCCTGGCTCCCAACCCCCACCTGCTTTACCCACTAGGCCCCACTCCTCTCCCAGAGCTGGGAGAGAATCCAGGAGTCCTGACCCCTCCCTCTCTCTCTCTCTCTGACCCCCTGTAGACGTGGGGGAGAAGGGCGGGCAGCTCTCAGCGGGGCAGAAGCAGCGGATCGCCATCGCCCGGGCACTGATCCGCCAGCCGGCCGTGCTGATCCTGGATGAAGCCACCAGCGCGCTGGACGTGGAGAGCGACTGCGCGGTGAGTGGTGGGGGCGGTGGGATCCGAACTCCGAACCTGGCCGGCCTGAGTGTCTCCGGTCTGCGTCGTGTGCGGATGGACCGTAACGCGGCTCTGCTCCTCCCCCTAGATCCGCCAGTCGGTGCTGAGCCGGGGGCCCCGGACGGTGCTGGTGATCGCCCACCGCATGCAGACGGTGGAGAACGCCGACAGGATCGTGGTGCTGGAGGGCGGGGCCGTGGCCGAGGAGGGGACGCACGCCGAGCTGATGGGCCGCAAGGGGCCCTACTACAGACTGGTGCAGAGAGACCTGGCCGAGTAACCCCCCCGCCCCGGGGAATAGCCCAGCACCGGCGTTACGGCCCGTCCCCTCCTCCCCCCCGGCACAGGGTGACATGGAACATACTGACAGCGGCTGATTAGTGTATGATGTCGGGTCACTGGCTTTATCGCCTGTGTTAGGGTTTAGATCAGCATTTCTCAAATGTGGCCACATCCGGCCACCAGGGGTTTGTCTTGTGGCCACAACCTCCTGGGCAGTGATGGGGGGTGGGGGTGGCAAAGCATTCACCCCTTCCACGGGGCCACCCATGGGGATTGGGCCCTGCCCCCCTCTGAAGCACAAACTCCAGAGGACCAGGCAGCCAGTGTGAGTTCCCCCCTTTCCCAGGGGCAGTGGGGCTCAGGCTTCCGGCTTCTGCCCTAGGGCGTTGGGCAGCTGGCTCCGGCCATGGGGCTTCGGGTTCCAGCTGTCAGGGGTTCGGGCTCCATCCCCTGGCCGTGGGGCATCAGGCCCGTCCTGGGGCTCAAAACTCCCCCATCACCCATGGCCCGCGCTGCCTTCCCCAGCCCTCCATTGCCCCTGGTCCCCGCTGCCTCCCTACCCACCTGTCCATTCAGAGCGTAACTTGTGCCCCGGCTTGCCAGGGCTGAGTAAGTCTGCTGTGAAAAGTGATATTAACAAACCTACAAATATCAGTTTTCACAGGAGCAAACTTACTAGCTAGCAAGTCTAAAAAAAACCCAAAAGAAACAACAACAACAAAGAGAAGAATGTGCAAAGCACCTTATTTTGTTTCTATTCTGTTTAGGGCCAGTAAAGAATAGAGACAACTGTACGTTATTTTTATTACTGAGTCTGAAAAACCCCTACATAAATAAATGACAATGATTTGGACATGGATATGTGCATATTTATTTGTTTTTCCTAAAGCTAATTAGCTATTTTAGGAAAAATTGTCAGACTGGTCACCAGCAAGAGTTGGTGGCCGCACTCTTAAGGCCACCAAAAAATTTCTTGTGAGAACCCCTGGTTTAGGTTCTGTGCAGGGAGTCCTGGGGGGGCAGGCGTGTTCGACTGGCCGAGCGCGAGACGAGTGTTTTGTAAAATACATTGAAGAGGTGAAATATCCGACCGGCGTCTGTGACGGTCTCTGGCTGGAAACGCCGTTGCTGGTCCCGTGCCCCAGCCCAGGGCTGCAGCGTTTGCTCTTGCTGGAACCAGGCCGTGGCTGTAACGCCTCACGTAATCAGTCGTGTTTAACGAAGAACGTGGCCTCCCGGTCAGGCTGGTGCTCTGCGACCCGCCCGGAGAGCTGCGAATTGCGGGTCAGTGCGTGGCTGGGGCTCGGCCCCGGGCACTGCCAGTGCACGGCTGCAGAGAGCCAGCAGGAGGCGCTCCAGGCTCCGAGCGGGTGGGTCTGGCTCACAGTAACAGCAGCCGCTGTCTGTCAGCACCGGGGCCGGGGTCACTCCGGTTTCTATCCCAGGCTGGCGGAGCAGAGCTGATCCTGGGGAGGGGCCGCAGGCCGGCAGGGGGTCACTGGGTCACAGACGCTGAAATGTCAGACAGGCCTGAGCGCCTGGGGGCAGGGGGGTGAGACAGGCTGTTAACCATGGCGGCTGTGGGAGCATGGACGGTCTCTGAGCTAAATAAAACTTACTAAGGCGAATGGAATCTCTCAGCTTCCCTGGGAGGCGGGTCAGTGTCACTATCTCCAGAGGGGGAAACTGAGGCAAAGTAACAGGGGAGTGATTGTGTCAAAATTAGATAGCAAGTCAGTGGAGTCCCAGCTCCCAGCCCTCCCCCCCCCATAACCCACTAGCCCCACACTGTGATGAAGTGGGACTGTTCTTAATGTTTCCTCTGAATACTGTGTGGGTGCCTCAGTTTCCCCTGTGCCTTTCTTAAGTCTCTAGGTAGTGGGGAAAGGCCAGTGTGCATCAATCACTGACACTCTGTCTCCTGGCAACAAATGGTCAGGGCCCTTCCCCCCCTGCAAGGAAATAGCTAAAGGTGAACAAAGAGATCAGGTGACCTCCTGGCCCAGGAAAGAGACAAAGCCGAGAGAAGGAGGCGCTGGAGGGGGTTTGAGAGTTGGAGCTACCTGGGGACTAGGAGTGAGGGCAGACGTGGGTGTCTGGCTCTCTGAACCCCAGAATGGACCCGGCCGAGGGGTCCCGTTCGCCGCTGTACCTACAAGCTCTGTTTTAGACCGTGTTCCTGTCGTCTAATAAACCTCTGTTTTACTGGCTGGCCGAGAGTCACGTCTGACTGCGAAGTGGGGGGTGCAGAACGCTTTGGCTTCCCCAGGACCCTGCCTGGGCGGACTCGCTGTGGGAAGCGCACGGAGGGGCATATGCTGAATGCTCCCAGGAGAGACCCAGGAGGTGAAGCCGTGTGAGCTTTTTGCCCTGAAGACGGTCTGCTCCAAGGGAGAGGAGGCTCCCCAAAGTCCTGACTGGCTTTGTGGGGAGCAGTTCCAGAGCATCGCCCGGGGACTCCGTGACAACTGGTGGCAGCGGTGGGATGTATGGCACCCCATGAATGGCGCTTCTTGCAGTAAGTGACTGGGGAGCAGTCAAACAGAGGGGGAACGGTTTCAGGGGGCGATTAACCCCTAGGAGTGTGTGACCAGCGAGAAGGACTGTTGGAGTAACGGGGTCCCCCTATGGACTGCAGCGAGCAGTATAAGGGGCGGAGGAGCTTGCCGCTCGACCCTGGGAGAGAGAAGGACTTTTGCAGTAACAGGGTCCCCCTGGGGATTGCAGCGAGTGGTCCCAGGGGCGGAGGAGTCTGCAGCTCGACCCTGGCAAAGAGGTGATACCACGAGAAGGGCTGGCACACTAGGGGTTCTTCCTGGAAACCGTGGGGGAGCTAAGAGCACACGGGCCTGTGAGTCCAAAGCAACTTGGGAACAGCGGAGTGATGGCCTATCACCATCTCCTCAAGAAGGACATTGTAATCCTGTGCAAGAAGAGAGGGTTACGCATTGGGAAGTTCACCAAGGCCCAGTTAATCGTGCAGCTGGAGGACGAGGACCGCTCTAAGGAGCAGATTCCTGACCCAGACGGGGCTACAAGAGGATCTGGGAGCAGCTGGAGCAGTAGCCAGGCATCCCCAAGAGTCTGGTCCCCAACCAGATGGGGGTCTTCACGATCGGGTTCCCCATCGGGGTCGGAGACGGATGGGACTGGAGCTGAGTCCGAGAGAGCGAGAGGACCGTGAGAGAGAGCGAGAGCCCAAGGAAAAGCTGCAGGAGAAGCAGCGGCAGCATGGACTGGCGATGGCGGAGCGGAGAGGCATAGGGGGCTCCCCAGGGGTGAGTGGGGATAGACCCCGGGCTGCCAGTTCCGCAGGGAGCCTCGACACTAAATTGCTGCCCCTGGGTAAGGAGGGGGGCGATGTGGAGGCCCACCGTACTGCCTTCGAGCAGGCAGGTGATTTGAACCAGGGGGACCCTGCGGAAAAGCCCCGGTATCTAGCTCCCTTGCTGGGTCCCAAGGCCATAGACGCCGTCAGACAGATGGGTGCGGTGGTGGACAGGCTCCCACTCCTGGCCCCGGCCTATATGTCTGCGTGGAGTCTCCTGGGCTCAGGCCCCTCGGACCCCCAGTGGGAGCAGAAGGTGGTGGTCAATGGGGGGACCTGCCTGGGATGCCGAGACCCTGGGACACAGAGAACTGATGTCAGGCCCCGGGTGGTGCAGCCGCAGATGCTGAGGGGCTGTGAGACCTGGGGGAAGGTCCCCGGGATGAAGCCCCTCACCCTGTCTATGGCCCGGATCCCTGTGCAGACCCAGGAGGGGTCGGGCTGGCTGGTAGTTGGGGTTCTCCAGGATATGGGCTGTGAGGTCCCGTGGGGGGGTGACTGTGTCTCTTTGGGACAAGCCCCTGTAACAGCCGAGGATTTAAATTTGAATCCCGCTAACCAATTGGCTAAGATGGAAATGGTCAGTGAAAATGCAAATGACCTGGCTGGCAGGAGGGAGGGGCTGCTGGGCGCAGGATACCTGCCTACCTGTAACCAGACCCCTGGGGCTGAGTGTGTCGGAGAATTACTCCCCGCCCCCCTGCACACCGGAGAGGGGGCTCATGCTGGCTCTGATGCTGTGACCAGACCAGAGAGCTCGCTGCCTGCCCCCACTGGGACAGCCCGGGCAGCGCTGAGCACGGTGGGAGCTGAGACCCCAGCTGAGTGGGGGGACACAGAGGGAGGGCAGGTCGGCTGCCAACCAGGCTTGCCTGGTCCAGACGTGCTGCTGGGAAGTGATTACACAGCAGGGATGGAGCTACCAGGGACAGGGCTCAGGGGAGCTGTGACCCCAGGCCAGACCGAACTGCAGAGGGATCCCTCCTTGGAGAAGCTGAGGGAACTTGCTGGCCACGGCGCTGCAAACCCCCTTGGGGAAGGCTGCAGGGACAGAGTCCTGTGGGAGAAGGGATTCCTGTACCAGGAATGGGCTCCCCAAGGGGAAGTGGAACTGGGGGGAATCGGGAGGCAGCTGGTGGTGCCCCAGGAATCCACAGGGTTCTTCCTGTTCAAGCTGCTGTATGGGAGGAAAGTGAGGGGACCCCTGGATGTGAAAAGGGAGGATTGGGAGGAGAAGGGGGAAGACCCCCTGGTGGATCTCTTCCCTGAGGTGGGAGCCAATCTCCCCATCAGGTGTTCCCCATTCAGAGTCACTGGGAAAGCAGCCCAGAACCTGGAGAGAGAGGTCAAGGACATGCTGGCTTTAGATGTGATCCAGCCGTTCAACAGCCCATGGGCCTCACCCATGGGTCTGGTCCCCAAGGGAGACAGGATGATCTGGTTTTGTGGGGACTATTGGAAGCTTAAAGCCAGCACAGTGTCAGATGCCTACCCCATGCCTAGGCCTGGGGAGATTCTAGACAAGCTGAGGGGGATGGAGAACTTGGCCCTGGCGTACGTCGATGACATGTGTGTCTTTAGCCAGACCTGGGAGGAACAGGTGTCCTAGGTGAAGAGGGTGCTGGGCTGCCTCAAGGAGGCAGGACTGACGGTAAAAGCCGAAAAGTGCAAGGTGGAGATGATCAGATTGGCCCATTCCCCAGACCAAGAAACAAGTCCAGGCCTTTATCAGGATGGCAGGGTGCTACCAGAGGTTTGTACCCCACGTTAGATCCCTAGCTGGCCCCATCCCTGAGCTATGTGAGAGGGGTAAGTCAGACGAGGTGGTCTGGACCGAGCAGGGCCAGAGGGCGCTCTGTATACTGAAGGAGGCTCTAATCCAGGGCCCAGTAAATCTGGTAAACCCAGACTTTGCCAAGCCTTTTGCAGTGTTCACCAACGCCTCAGACGCAGGGCTGGGCACGGTGCTAATGCAAGCCGATGCTAAGGGTGGGAGACACCCCACCGGGTACCTGAGCAAGAAACTGCTGCCCTGGGAGCAGAACTATGCGGCCTCAGAGAAGAAATGCCTGGCCACGGTGCAGGCCCTTAGAAAGCTGCAGCTGTATTGTTTTGGGCGGCGTCACATGCAAGGGGCTGAGGCCGAGCTGCTGGAGACAGAGACACCTGTTCAGAGGGTGGCAAAGATCAAGATGGGGGCTCTTAACCAAGGGAGCTCGAATTGCAGCCCTCCAAACTGGAGCGCTGGGAAAAGACCCAATCTCAGTTTAGACCCCAGGGGTATTGGGGTGGCAAAAGGGTACAGGCTGCATAAACCTTCCCACATGCAGCCTGCAAGCGCCATCAAGCACAACATACCCTACGGGAGGGTGTGAAGCGGGAAGGGCCTGGTGTAACTTCCACCAAGGAATGGGAGAAATTATGAGGCATCCATGGGAACGTTGGTGGGTTCGAACTTCCCCAGGTCACTGGCTGCAGTGACCTCGCTCAGTTCAGTCTTGAAGGGGGGAGAGATGTGACGAAGTGGGACAGTTCTTAATGTTTCCTCTGAATACTGTGTGGGTGCCTCAGTTTCCCCTGTGCATTTCTTAAGTCTCTAGGTGGTGGGGAAAGGCCAGTGTGCATAAATCACTGACACTCCGTCTTCCTGGCAACAAATGGCCAGGGCCCCTTCCCCCCTGCAAGGTAATAGCTAAAGGTGAACAAAGGGATCAGGTGACCTCCTGGCCCGGGAAAGAGACAAAGCCCAGAGAAGGAGGGGCTGGAGGGGGGTTGGAGTTTGGAGCTGGCTGGGGACTGGAAGGGAGGGCAGACGGGGGTCTGCCTCGCTGGGCCCCAGAATGGACCCGGCCGAGGGGTCCCGTTCTCTGTACCTACAAGCTCTGTTTTAGACCGTGTTCCTGTCGTCTAATAAACCTCTGCGTTACTGGCTGGCTGAGAGTCACGTCTGACTGCGAAGTGGGGGTGCAGGACCCTCTGGCTGCCCCAGGACCCCGCCTGGGCGGACTCGCTGTGGGAAGCGCATGGAGGGGCATATGCTGAATGCTCCCAGGAGAGACCCAGGAAGTGAAGCCGTGTGAGCTTCTTGCCCTGAAGACAGTCTGCTCCATGGGAGAGGAGGCTCCCCAAAGTCCTGCCTGGCTTTGTGGAGAGCAGTTCCAGAGCATCGCCCGGGGACTCCGTGACGTCACACCCCGTATATACTGGGGTAAGGGACATGACTGGTAAAGGCGCAGAACCCCCCCAAACCAGCCCGTCTGAACTGCCCGCCCCTTGGACCCTGTTAGTGACAGGGGGAAAAGGCCACAGTTGAGGTGCTGCTCTCTGAAGAATTCATTCTCCCCAGTTGGCCCCAGTCCTCTAACCCTGTGCCGCCCCAGGCCAGCCCCCCGCCCATCCCCCATCGCAGCCCCATTACAGGATCAGTCCCAGCCAGGTGGTGACTCTGTGCAGTGCCCAGGCTGCGTGGCCCCACGCGGGGCAAACTGGCACTACAGCCGTGGTGGCCACAGCCTCCTGCATCTCAGCCTGGCTTAGCCCCCGTTCAAGGGGCTGCCAGCCCCGGACCCAGCTTAGCCGCCCCATTCCCCACCCCTCCACATGCTCCCTGCTGCAGCTGGAGGAGGGGACCATGGGCTGGCTGCTCAAGGATTCATTTGAACCCCAGTTTAAAGGAAGAGACCTGTGAGGCAGCTTTCCAAAGCACTAAGGGGTTTAGGAGCACTAGGCTCATTGACGATTCCTGGTAGGCATGCCCCTAAATCCCTTGGGCACTCTTGAAACTCTCCCCGAGTCACAGTCCCTGTAATGTTCCTGACCCGTCATCTCTGCTGTGTATCCGATGAGCGTTCAGCAGGGGCAGCCTGGCCTGTCCCAGTCACCGGGTCACTCAGGGCAGGGCGGCGGCTCTGGATGGCTGCGTCTATCAGTGTCGCTGCTGCCCAGCCCCACCCCTGCCCAACACCCATTATTCACCCCCAAACACATCCAACCCCCACAAACCTAACGTGCACGCACCAGCCCCTTCCTGCCAGGCCCCTGTGCTCCCCAGCCCTGCCATACACCCCCCCATTCCCTGACCCCCCCAGACAGAATCCTCCAGACGGGCTGAAGAGAGATTAAAAACCCCAAACCTACATTTATTGTGTCCAAATGAAAATCGCCAAGAGATTTACAATTTTACTATTTAAAACAGTTGTTAAAACCTTAACAAAAGAAAAAAATTACATCCGTCACACACAAAATCATCCCATTTGGGAGCAGGATCGGCACCAGCTTAGGCTTTGTCTACACGCAAACGTGCACCAGATCAGTTAGGGGATGCTGATTCTCGTAGGAGAGGAGGCTTTTTCTCGTGTCGCTTGAGTCACTTGGGAATCGGTTTAAATCAAAACAAGCCCTGTCTTACACCAGACTAAGAGTGTCCACACAGGGATTTAACTAGCGCACTTCAAACTCACACCTCTGTAGTTACACTGGTGCAAATCGCCATGTAGACAAGGCCTTACACTGGAGTGACCAGTGCCCTGACAGCAGGATTTATCCCATTACACAGGAAGCTGCAGCAGCAAAAAGATCATCTTAATCACCACAGAAACAGAAAACGGGGGCTGTTACAATCAAAGCGAACAGAACAGTAGGTGCTGGGTACTGCACTACGCTAACAATTCAGTCCAGCCAACCCTGGTTATTTTTCTATACAAACAAGATCTTCAGCGATACAAGTTTTCATTTTTTCAAAACAAGATAGTTGTGTAGAAATCAAACAATAAGCGACCCCGACCATCCCTGGCAGGCTGCAGCCACGGAGGTTTCAATTCTAAAGTGAAAGCTGCAGTTGCTGTCTCACAGGCGGGCGTTTAGCTCGGGTACAATCAAGGCAAAGGGCTTTAAGCAGGTGGCGGAAGGTGCTGATGAGCTGTTGCATTCCCAGGAGCCTGATCTGCTCCGGTCTCTCCCCTCACGTCTGGGATCCCCCCAGCCGGCTGCACAGGGGCCGACGGGCTCCGTTACGCTGCAGAAATGAGACAGGGACAGTCAGCGCCGGGTCAGGGTGAGCAGACACAGCAGTGCCAGGTACGATACTGGGCCCCTCCGGCGCTCGGGGTAAAGCTCTGACTGGGCGCCACACCCCGCGCCGAGGGGGAGGAGACCGTAAAGCCGTTCACCGTCCCACTGAGCTACAGTGATCACTGCTCCCGGCGCCCAGCGCAGTATCTGTGACACATCCCGGCCCCTTCCCCTAGAGCCAGGGACACCCCGACCCCCTCCCAGAGTCCCTGCGGCCTGGAACCCCTCCCTGCAGAGGGGAGATGCAGACCTGCACTCAGCACCCCCACTGCAGGGAGATCAGGGGCAGGGCTCCCCACGGCTGGCTGGTCAGAGGAGCAGGGCCTGGGGGTCTCTGGGCAGGGGTCTCCCCTCACTGAATACCCCCGGCTGGTTTCTCCCTCACTTACCCTTGGCAGAGGTGTCCAATCCCTGGTCGCTTCCTGGGAGGGGATAAGAAGGAGAAGGGGGGCGTTAGCATCTCCGGCCCTGATCCCTGCCCGGCCCCTCGTGTCAGCGTTTATCCTGCTGCAGGGCGGGGTTGACGCTGCCCCAGCCGAGCGGCTGCACTTTGCCCTGGTGTGAGGGACGGTGCAGGGTGAGCCAGCGGAGTCAGGGCTGGTCACTGCTCCCCAGGGCGAAGACCCCTGCGCTGCCCCCCCCAGGGACTTGGACATACGGGGGTGGGGACTCTCAGAAGCACCTTAGTGACTCAGGAGCCCAAACCCCATTGAAATCAGTGGGGCTGGGGCTCCTACATCCCCCCCCCCCCAACACACTCGGTGTACAACACGTCCCACCAGCACCAAACCCAGCTCCCAGCCGCAGGGTGGGGTGGGGGTGTTTAGACCCAGGCCAGACACCGCCGGGGCGAAATGCTTCTCCGAGGGGTCAGACGCACCCCAACCCCACGAGAAACACACACGGCTGGTCTGGCACGAGAGGGGTGTGCGCCCACCAACTTCACAGGCTGTGGCAGGAATTTCATAGCATCTAAGGGGAGTTGGCTGCTGACACTCCCCTGACTCCCTGTAACTCCCCTAGGTTCCTCTGAACTCAGCCTAATTAGGGTCTGTCTACATGGGGAAAAGCGATCAGCGCAGCTGTGGCTGAATAATTTAGCTCTTCTGGTTAATCTCCCAATGCAGCCAACCCCCCGGTGTCACCGAACCAGCAGGGACCCCCCCCCCCCCCAGAGGGACCCTGGGGCGCGGTCACCCCCCCCCGCCCCCCCCCCCCCAAGGCCTCAGCGAGAGCAGCACGTCCCCTGGGCTAATGTCACCAGCACGTCACCCACCGGAGCTGGCAGAGCCGTCGTGAGCTGTGGGGGAGAAGGAAGCCGGGGTCAGTGTCTGGTGGAACGAGGGTCCCCGTTCTCCCCGCCCCACACTCGTTATACACGTACACACCCCTGTGACTGATCCAGGTGCTACTGTTCTGCCGTTGGGCCCAGACACCACGGTGATGGGCGACCTACACAGAGCACCCAGGCCCGGGCAGGGCGTTAGTGTCACTGGCCAGTCCCGCTACTGCAGCTCCCCAGCCTCCAAGAGGCCGTGGGGGGCAAGGGGAGGTCTCCTGGGACTGCCCCCAGGCTGTCCCGTACCGGGTCACACAGCGACGGGGACGGGGGAGGGCTCAGCACTTACCTGCAGCCGCTTTGTAGCCGCCGTTCTTCTTCCCTGCAGAGACAAGGCAGATTGGAGTAAGTGCGGCTGCTCCTGGGGCAGGAACTGGTGCTGATCTGTGCCCATGGCCCAGAATCCAGGGGCCCGGCCCATCCCCGGGGCAGGGTGACAGGCTCTGTACGAACCGTTTTCCTCCCTGGGTTTCAGGCTGGTGGCTCCGGCCCAGCCAGGGCCACACAGAGTTTTGGGGGCCTGGGGCAGAGTCTGAGCCCCCCCCCCATTCCAAGGGTGTAAAAACACAGGGGGAGACCCAGATGGTGAGGGGCAGAGAGTGATTCCGCCCCACACTCATGCTGCCTTGGGGGCTCCTGTCCTGGGGGGTGGGCCTGGCTCCCCACTCTGGGCCCTGCGACCTGGCACATGGGGTCACAGCACAGACTCAGGTGTGGGGCTGTGACCCCACGTGCCAGCTCAGCACCGCTCAACTTCTGCGGCTGGGGGGCCCAGAGCAAACTGCCCCTTTGTTCCCCACTGGGCAGCCCTTGGCCCAGCAGCAGAGCGGGGTAGCCACACAGCACTGACGCCAGGGGCTGTAGGGGTGCGTGCCGGGGCCCAGCCAGAGCAGGTCAGCACTCTCCCAGCCTAGGCTCTAGGGTGATGGGCACGTCACCATGGCCTGGCACAGACACCTGGCACTTACTGAGGAAGACAACAGCTCCAGCGATGGCAGCGACCAGCACGAGAACCCCGATAACGACACCCACGATCAGCATCACGTTGGACTTGGGCCCTGAAACGGGAATGGGCCAGTGAGCAGGGGAACCACAAACCCTCTTCCCCTGTTACATGGGTTAGTCACCCCACCCCCCACTGGAGCCCCATAACCCCCCCAACCCCCTCCTCCCATCCCAGGCCAGTCCCCCCTTACCCCAGGGCACTCTCAGATCCTCCACCAGGCTGGGGTGCTCCACACAGCAGGTATAATCGGTCTCACTGCTGGGGTCGATCTCGATGCTGGCCCGGGTCTGGTAGGTCCCGTCCCCGCTGGGAACCACCCCCCATTGGATTGTCTCCTGCGGCACGGCCACCCCCTTCTTCAGCCACACGACGGCCACGTTCCGTGGGTAGAAACCGTGGACCCGGCAGGAGAGGGTGGTGAGACCCCCGTCCCGGCTCGGCCGGTCGCTCACGTGCACCTGCGGTGGCTCTGGGGGGAAAGGAGAGATGGAGTTAGAGGGAACTCCCTGAGCTGGATCCCCTGGGGCGGCAGCAGCTGAGGGGGCTGGCCAGAGGGACGGGAGCTGGTGCAGCCGCGCTCTCATGTCTGGTTCTGATACACGCGGCCGGGGCACGGGCACCCCGAGGGGCTCTGCTCGGCTGGGGGGGCGGTAGGGGGCTGAACAGGGCGGGACGGGACAGGGAGACGAACGGCGGCTCCTGCAGCAACGCTGGGGCCTCGCCCGATGGGGGAACAGAAACGTCCTGCCAGGGACAACGCTCAGCGTGATGGACGTGGGGGAGCGATCTCTGCAGTGGGGATACACCCCGTTCAGTGATCCCCGGGGTCTGATGTGCCCCCCTCACCTCTCCTCTGCAGCGTCTCCTTCCCGTACTCCAGGTACTTCCCCAGCCACTCGATGCACTCCTGATCCAGGTAGCCCTTCCACTGCTGAGCGATGCTCCTCTCAGCCTCCCATTTGTGTTTGGTGACCTGAGCCCCGACATCTGCCGCCACCCAGGTCTCCTGGTCCTTATCCAGGCTGATGAAGTCGCGCCCATCGTAGGCATACTGGCTAAACCCCCCAATGGAGCCGTCATCCCGGAGCTCACAGCCGTACATCAGTTGGAAAGTGTGAAATCCTGAAACACACGGAGCCGGGGCCCAGGGCCCAGGGCTGGGTCAAGGTTTGAGCCACAGGGAGCAGCTACTGCTAGAGATTCTCCAACACCCCCAGCCGCCCTGCGATGGGGGCACCAGCCCGGAGACCCCCTGGGCCTACCACCCCCCGCCCCAGGAAAAGAGCAGTAGAGGTGAGTCCTCCAAGCTGCCTAGAACGGCTGCGGGGAGCAGCCAATCAGGGACCAGCAGGATCACAAAAGAAGGAGCTGCTGGGCAGAGCCCCCCCCTTAACCCTGCCCTGCCTGGAGCAACCGCGCAGGGTCCCTCTGCCCCCCCCCCCGTTCACACCGACCCCACCCCGCAGTGCCCCCGCCCCACACGGGCCCGATGTTCCCAGGATCTACTTGTGCTCCAGGGGCCGCCCAGCGCTCCGGGGCGCGACCACGGCCAAGGAGCAAACTCCGGTGGTTTTGCTCCTTTTCAGACTGGCCGCCGTCTCCCACGGGGCTGGAGCCGCAGGACGCCCTGGGCTAAGGTGGCGGCTGTTTCCCTACAGCCAGGCAGGCGGCAGAGACACGGCCCTTGGCTAAGGCGGCCCCACGTGCCAGGGTTTGCCGGGAACCCAAAGCAGGGCCGCCCTTGGTACATGGCTGCCCCCTGGGCTGTCAGGAGGTGGGGACAGACATGGGGGCGGGAAAGAGAAGCTGGGGGCAGGGAGGGCGACTGGCTCAGCAAACAGAAGCAGGGAGCCTGTGGGTGCAGCAGGGGGGGGGTGAGGGTTGTTATGAGAACAGCCCAGCCGGGGACCCAAACACCCTCGCACGCCCCCATCCCACACAGAGAAAACCACAGTCTGGGCTGCGTGTCCACCAGTGACAGGCGATTTGGGGGAGGGGCCCAGCCTGAGACACCTGGAAAGGGAGAGCCGGGCACCCCCCTCTGTGAACCAGGCCCCTGTAGGGCGTGCAGCCAGCCCCCCACCCCCACGGGTCACTGTGGGGAGTTCAGGCCAAGCCAGTAAGGGCAGCTCAGTGCCTGCTGGGGGCGGGAGCCGACCCCAGTAAACATCCCCACAGCCGGCACCGGCCTGAGCTCAGCGCAGGTTGGACACAATTAGCCCCCGTCTGCACACGAACCCCAGAGGTAGCCAGGGCTGGGCAGGCTGCCGGGTTCTACCTGCTCCCCCCAACACGGCACGTCTCACAGCCCTGGCACCACGGTGCTGGGGCCATGGGAGCAGCAAGATGAGCAAGCTAGAACGCCCCCCCCGCCCCCTCCAGGCACTGGGGGTCCCCGCCTCGCTTTCCTCCCCAGGCTCTCCCCATCCCCCAGGGCTCTCCTCCTGCCTTTTGGATTGATTCCCACCCAGGAGTGTCTCCCCTCCAGCCCCTGCACTGTCCTTCCCCCCAGCTCTGGGCACCCCCCCTTGATGGTGTCCTGTCTCTGCACCCGCTGCCGCCCTACAACAGCCCCTTCCACCAGCCTGCGCCTGCAACTGCTCCCTCTGCCCCCGACCGCAGCCCCCTCCATCCCCTGCCTGCTCTGTCCCACCTGCCTCAGCACCAGCCCCTCTGCACCTTCTGTGTCTTCCCCACCCCAGCTCCTTCTGCATCAGCCCCCTCAGTCCCCCCAACCCAGCTCCTCTCAAGATGCTGCCGTCCTCCATCACTGCTCCCCCCTCCCCCCCAAGTTGGGAGCGGAGCCTCCTGCCCTGCGAGGGAACAGCCTGAGCTGCGTCTGGCTGAGCGTGGCACGGCCGGGACACGCAAGCAGCTGGGGGCCCGGGAAGCTCAGCGCAGACAGGACATGGAGAGGCCGGGGGATGTGGGCCGGGGGGACACAGAATTAATGGATGAGGTTGCTGGGTTTGGGGAGAAGGGGGAAGCTCAGCTCCCATCCGACAGCCCCAGAGCCCTGCAGTGGGGCCAGAACCACCCGACTCTGGGCTAGTTCAGGGGTAGGGGAGCCCTGGGGCTGCGTGCGCATTCCTAGTTACAGTGTGACCCCCACATGCTCTCACACGCCCTGGGGTGGGGGGTGTCCCACAAACGCCTCAGCCATGAGAAGGCAAAACAAACTATCCCCACGTTAGAAAACTGATTCCAATTAACTGACAGTTTCCTCTCAGGGTTATTGGGGCCACAGCTCTGTCCCCCACCCCCAGCCTGCTGCAGCTGCACGGGCAGAACCAGACCCCCAGGGGCGGATCGAGGAGGGCCTGTCCAGCTCAGCTACCGCAGAGCCTGCCTGCGGAGACAGCTCCCCACACACAGGACACCCGCCCCTGTGGGCCGAGAGTCGGGAACGAGCCTCTGGGCGTTACAGGAATAAACGGTGAATTCCTGCTGCAGAGGAATTGGGCTGGATGGACCCGCCCAGGCTGGACGGAGAAGTGCTCCAAACAGGGGGGTCGGGTCGTGGACCTTGTGACTCAGAGAAAGGAAATGGTCCGTCTCCCAGGACACGTTTTCCTTTTCTCTCCCTGCTACACGGGCACAGCCCCGTACCCCAGGGGATTCATAGCAGGGAGCTGCCAGAGCAGGTCCGACAGAACGAGAGCCGGAGTGATCAGCTCCTTCTCTGCTACCGGCAGACCCAGCGCTGGGCCCCCTCCCACCGACACAGCGTGGGCTGGTGCCGGCATGTCCAGCTGGGACACAGTGGGAAGGTCTGAACCGGGCCAGGCAGATCTCACCACACAGGGCAGTACGATCCCGAGGCCCTGGGGCTGCTGCCGCTCTCAGCGAGGGGGTGGATGCTGGGTGCTGGGGCGGCTCTGACTTGTAGGCTGCGGGATGCACCATCTCAGCCCCCCTGGCATGGCAGATTTTGATGCTGTTTGTCCTGTAGCTGTGGGATGGCAGAGAACAAACGGAGCCCTGCCCATGCACAAACCCCGTGTGCAGCGGATGTGGATCTCGAGGGCTCCATGAACACCCAGCGTTCCCAGAGCTCCTCCCTCGGTGAGACGGTGCTGGACAAAAAGGAGGGGAGGTGCCATTCCTTGGGCCCTGGGACAAACAGGGATCATCTCTAGGATAAAAGCCAAGTCTCTGTCTGAACAACCCCCCGATTGCTGGGGGGAAAACGGCTACTAACCTTTCTGTAACCGTTGTCCATCGAGATGTGTTGCACACGTCCATTCCCATGTAGGGGTGTGCGCGCCCCGAGCATCACTGCTGGAATTGTTCCCCTAGTAGTGCTACCTGTCGGGTGGGCTCTGGTGCCCCCTGGTGCCGTGTGCTCATAGTGCCGGTATAAGGGGCCCTGCCAAGCCCACGCCCCTCAGTCCCTTCTTACCAACCACTCTGAGAGCAGGGCTGGGGGGTGGGTGTCGGAATGGACGCGTGAAACTCATCTCGAAGAACCACAGTCACAGAAAGGTCAGTAACTGTCGTTTCTTCGAGCGCTTGCTCGTGACCATTCCGATGTCGGTGACTCACAAGCCGCGGCACCATAGGGGGGCCAGGAGTTCAAGGACAAGCCGGCTACAGCACAGCACGGCTAGAGCGTGCATCGTCCCTGACCTGCTGAGCGACGGCCCAGCACACTGGGAACGTGTGCGCCGAGGAGCAGGTCGCAGCACTGCAGATACTCTGAGCAGGGACTGGAGCTGGAAAGGGCGCTGAAGAGACCTGTGACATGAACAGTGACGTTCGGCAAATGGGGAATCCCAGCGAGGTCAGGACACACCTGGATGCGCGATGGAACCCAAGACAAATCCTCTGAGCGGAGATGGGAGCCCCCTCGTTCTCCCCGCTAGTGCTAGGAAAAGCTTCGGGGATTTACGGGAAGGGTTGTCTCTGAATGTAAAATGCCAGCGCCCGTCTGACCTCCAGCGAGTGCAGGTGCTGTCCTGCCCGGTCTGCGTGCGGCTCAGGGTAAAGGACTGGGAGAAAAATCAGCTGGTTCACGTGGAATTGGGGACCCCACTTTTGGGAGGACCTTTGGATGTGGGCGTAGCTGGACTCTGTCTCTAAAGGAGATCGTGTCCGGGGGCTCCGCGGTGAGGCTCGGATCTCTGACACTCGTCTGGCCGACGGGTTGGGCACTGAAAAGGCCAACTTCCCACAGGGGTGCAGCAGTGAGCATGGTGCTAGCGGCTAGAACGCTGGGCCCATCGGTTTTGTGAGGGCAAGGTTCCGGTCTCAGGGGGGATCAGTTCCTTCATCTGTGGGAAATACCCCCTCCAGGCCTCTGAGGAAACAAATTACCATTTCGTGTGAGAAAATCTTTGGATGGCAGCTGAGACGGCCGCCAGGTGGACTTTGACTGCAGAGAAGGCCAGGCCTTGCTGTGTCAGGGATCGGTTAATCCAGAATGAGCTGCATGAGGACTGCACGGGTGGAACTCCGCGCTGGGTGGAGCACATGGAGAATCGTTTCCACTTTCCCCAGTCAGTCGCCCTGGTGGAGGGTTTCCTACTGCCCAGAACTCTACACGCTGGTTCTGAACAAGCCGCTCCTCGGGGTTTAGCTAGCAAGATTCCAGGCCTGCAGGTGCAGCGAACTAAGGTTTGGGTGGAGCAGCTGGCCATGGTCCTGAACGATCAGGTCCCAGTACAGCGGGAGCCGGATTGGGGCCTCCACCGGAAGCGGTAGGAGCGTGGTACACCAGTGTTGTCCGGGCCATGCTGGGGTTATTGGGATGACCCGAGCTCGGTCCTGCTTGATCTTCGTCAGAACCTTGTGTATCGACGGAATGGGGGGAAGGCGCAGAACAGGTAAGTTGACCATGTCCGCAGGAAGGCGTCCGTAAGGGGCTGTGACCCCTCAGGGAGCAGAGCTGCTGGCGTGGCCTGTTGGCGCGGGTGCAAACAGGTCTATGGGGGGAAATCCCCACCTGTGGAAGGGTCCTGGGCCATATCTGGGGGCAGGGACCACTTGTAGTGAGTGAAGGACCCGCAGAGGCGATCCGCGAGCTGGTTCTGTGCTCCTGGTAGATGAGAGGCGTCGAGGTCGATGGAACGTGCGATGCAGAAACCCCACCAACGAGCTGCCTCCTGGCATTGGGGG